TTCTTACATTTCATTTTTGGGCGTTATTGCTCTTTCACACCCCACGGTATAGTAATGGAAAGCGTGCTAATACCCTTGAGAAAGCTATGAATCCTCTTCCCACCTCTCCCCCCACCCGCTATGGGTAAATAGCAGGACAGATCGGGCTCTATAGCAACTGGTCTAACGCAGAAAGAAATGCCAACCTACTGTGGGAAAAAAACTGCCTCGTCAGTCATGTATCGAAAGATACATGATCGCCTAAACGTGTAACATGCATGGCACGTAACTGATTAACTGCCCCCCCTTCCCCGTTGCTTCCTGCCATTCAACAATAGGTTACCCCAGGTATGACAGTCTGGACTGATATTTGGGCGTCATATAATGGATTATTTTTACCCCTACATCATATAACACATGTGTGTTGGCCACCCATTAAACTATCCTTATGTCTAATTCTCTCTCATTATTTGAGGCAAATATATGCAATGTATAATGTTTGAACATATCTACACTTCAACACGTTTAGTTTAAGTTAAGTAACTGGTGATTTTCTTGAATTTGATATTAATTGACCAGTAAATTTAAGTTTACCTGACAATATTCAAGGTATTTTTTTTTACGTTTTACATTGATTTTGTTTCTCGGAATTTATATTTTAATTTAAATATTATAACTAACAATAACAAACAGAAATGCTGATTGGCAGGAAGCAACGGAGGTGCGAAAGTGTAATATCACCCATTTTTCTTTTGGTCTTTTTCTTTCTTTTTCCTTTTTTTCTTTTGTTTTACATCCACTGTCTTTTCTTTCATTAATACTTACATTATATTTTTTTCTTTTTTTCTTAATTCTTTCTTTCTATCGTACATTTCGTTTTTTTTTTGCTTTTCTTTTTCTTACATTTCATTTTTAGTTTTGTGTCTTTTTTTCTTTCTTTCATTGTTTCTTTCTTTTTTTATATCCCCCCTTTTATTTCTTTTTCTTTTGCTTTTTTTTTTTTCTTTCATTTCATTATTGTTTTTGACGTTTTTATTTCTTTCTTTTATTCTTACATTTCATTCTTATCTCGGACTCTTTTCCTTCTTTCTTCCTTTCATATATTCCATTTTTCTTCTGTTGTATTTATTTTTCTTTCTTTCATTTGCATATTTCCTCTTTTTTTTCCTATCTCTTTTCCTTCGTTCTTTCTTTCTTTCGCTTTTATATTTCATTTTCTTTCTTTATCTTTTCCTCTTTTATTTCTTTTATACATTTCAGGTTTTTCTTAGATCCCCCGCCTCGTAACGAGATGAGATATAATGATTATTCCTCGAACATTTTACCTCGTTTTGACTGGCGATGTTGTTTTATTTCTTCATCTTTTAAATTTATCAACGATCTTTTTTGGTAACTCGTCGCTTAAAAGAATTTCATTATTTTTCTTTTTCTTATCAACATGTCCCTGCTTCCTCATACAATACTGAAATCATAAAACAAGAATGTTATATAACAAGAACATTATATCTCGTTCATTATACAAAATCTAGTGGTGATACTGGGTAATCATAATGGTGTATGTATACTTACCCAATATTACGGCTAGCTATGTCTGGCGGCAATTACACGAAATAGAATGTCGTTCAATGATAACACTTAATGCACAACGATATGTTGTATGTAACCAATAAGAGGCTTTATTGTGCTGGGGAGCAATGACTGCAAATATGATAGTATCAAATAGAACGTACTTCACAGATGGTAGTTAATCTGGAATGATGATGTCCACGTGCCGAGGATTAGGCGTCGTTGTAACGAGTCTCCAAATATATTCGTATCGATCCATGCGGAGTATAAGCACGGGTAATGGAGGAGAGACTTGTTTAATGGTTTGTTAAGAATACACACTCTTTTTTCCATCGCTCAGACGACTGTCACGACTAATCAGTGCTTAGATGTGATGAATAAGCACACACACACACACACATATATATATATAATATTGAGCAACATATATATATGTGTATATATCTAATATAGAGCATCATATATATATATATATATATATATATATATATATATATATATATATATATATATATATATATAGAGAGAGAGAGAGAGAGAGAGAGGGTGGGGGGTAAAAGTGAACATAGAAGTCAACACACAGAGGCGACAGGCTGTTTCATGCTAGACGCAATCGGCCTCTGAGTGCTGACTTTTATATCTATATTTACATACGCTCTGTCTATTATACTGAGCACTTTATCCTATAAACATAGCACACCTTAAAGCTATATATATATATAATCGACTCTCCTGTCGCGTTCGACGTATGAGGGTCAGGCCGATAAGTCCCCAGGGAACCGATATCCCGACACCGGCACATGAGATTTGTTTATAGTGGTGAAGGCCTTGTGCAGGACCAGCCACACTTTTTGGAGGGACGAATACAGAAACCTGGTGCACCGAATGCATGCCACAAGGTTCCCAAACGACCATCCGCAGGTTTTGAATTCAGAGTTGTCCTTCTCCTAGACCAGTTGCCATCCAAGGCTATAGAACCCAGTCTGTCCTGCTATTTTACCCATATATATATATATATATATATATATATATATATATATATATATATATATATGGGGGCAAAGAGAAAGTGAGGAGTATATATAGTATAACATTTGGGCTAAGAACAAAAAAGAAAATTAAATGAAATAAGCTAAACTATATAACAAAAGAACAAATTAAAAAGATATTTTGAAAAAACTCATTTTCTGTGCATTAACAGGCTCCAAATATTTGAATCGTTGTATATATATATATATATATATATATATATATATATATATATATATATATATATATATTAATCGACCAACGATGCCGTATACTTTGAATTTGCTGACGGTAAAATATGTTAAAATTAAATTTCACGCGCCCACTTTCAGAATATGATCAACTATATTTTTCATTAAAAGATTTTTTTAACAATATATATTAATCAGTAACCTTGAGATAAATAAATCTAAATTTTAGATTCAACCGAAGCCTACTATTTTATGATAAATATGATGAATTCTTTTTTTTCTAATTAGTATTCCAATGAACCTTTGACCAGGGTGTTTGTTCGATACTTTGTCACACAAACGAAACTGAAATTCTCACAGTTAATTATCCACATCTTTCGCTTTTTTTCGAATATTCCAAAAATACGGTTACGATAATTTGTTCACATACTGAAACATTCCCTTGCCTTCATGAGACTGACTGCAAGAATTTCATATATACATAGTTAAATTGTGATATATGCACCCGCACACATGTATACGCATTTTCCGTTTATCATATACTAATGCTGTTCATTCAGTTGTACTGTAAAAGAAAAAGTTATAAAAAAATATTTTGTGTGAAGTTGTTCCCAAAGTAACTCCGTAATTAATCTCTTTTAATTTGAAAGAAAAATAATTCTTTAATAAATATTGGAATTTGTAGATCCGTGTTTGATGATTAACTTAATCATATATATATATATATATATATATATATATATATATATATATATATATATATAAGCAATTCACCCCAAGCAAGGCAGGAGTGCCACTTTCACGCAAGGATTGAGAACAAGAGTAACGAGGCGTGTTTGAGAAAAGGATACAAAGAAGGACGGGGAACAAGATGAAGATATCAGATATCGATTGACATTACACTTGAATATTTGAAGATTATAGTAATCGGAGAAGGAAGAAAGGTGAAGGGAGTTCCGCAGATGGGAAGTGCGAGAGAAGAAGATGTGTGACTAGATGAGACCGTTATATTTAACCATTTTGACTGTGAAAGGGTGGGACCGAGAATCCAGCACAATAGCTCGCTTAAATTCACACAGTCTGAGAATCAGCGGAAGTAGCTCGTCGGAACAGTTGCCGTGAAAATACTCGTGGAAGAGACAGAGGGAAGCGTCAACTTCAATATAATTATTTGAATTAAATTGAATTAAAGTAAGCTCTGTTCCATCTTCAAGCGAAATGTTTTTGGAATAACTTATTTCTGAAACTTACGTGTTTTATAAGCATATTCATTATTGAAATCAAAATTTCTATGGTAACGGCTAGAGCAATTGTTTAAACAAAAAGGGACGTAAGGTGTTAATAATTTGTATTAGTATAAAGTTACATTCACAGATGTCAAGTCAGGGTAAGGTTGGGGGTGTCTAAATTTAAAGCGGAAGATGATTTCGCCTAGTCTGGTTTACGTGTCTATGGAGATTGATTTATTTTTTTTAATTTTATTTTTTTCTGAAAGGGTTTTGTGTATATAAAAACTGTCGTAAAAAAAATACTAAACAACTTTGGGTTATTTACCTAACGAGTTCTTTCCTATTTTCTATATATTTTTCACACACACACACACAGATATATATATATAAATATGTATATATATATATATATAGTGTGTGTGTATGTGTATATATATATATATATATATATATAGAGAGAGAGAGAGAGAAAGAGAGAGGGGGAGAGTGCGTGTGTATATACATATAGTGTATATATATATATATATATATATATATATATATATATATATATATATATATATAATGTGTGTACATATATATATATATGTGTGTGTGTTTGTGTGTTTGTGCGTGTAGAGCGATTTCACAATTTCAATGGACGTTTCTTTATTTATCCTGGCTACTTTCAACATTGCTTGCAATCTCGTTTGTTGGTTTGATCAAATAGATGCCTAATAAGAAGTTAAATAATGTTTTGTTATAATATATACTTTATGGAAATAAGATAATTTCTTTTTTTTTTTTCTTATTGATGAATCGCTTGACGGCATCATCTAACCACTGGTGTAAAGCCAAACAAGCAAATTACAATTTATATCCATATTCTCTGTAAGAATGAGGCGGAGAATCTTCTAAAGGAACATGATGAGAAATGTTCTTGTTACAGGTTGGAACGTGAAAGGGAAATGCAGTGTTTGTTTTTCTTGAATATTCCTTCCACCCAGAAACGATCCAAAGACTTGTTATGATTTCAAATCTACTCGGGATCAGATCCGCTACACACGGAGAACGCCGTCTTGTTTGCGGCGTCGATGCCGGTTCTTTATACGCCAGTCATGCCAATAAGCGGTTTAACATTGATGCTAGACACGAGGCGGTCTTCCGGACGTTAGCTCTGTTTCACGCCTCTCGATCCGTCAATTCTGTGCGCAGTATAGACAGTGCCCAAAAGGGAAAAGACACCGGAAGCATTCCATGGCTGACTGGTTTTCAATTCCATTGCACACATGGCGGATTCGATCTTCAAGACTGGAATGAGTCGGCTTGGAATGATTCTGCTTAGAAATCTGTCTGATTATTGTTTTACACAGTAGGTAAGAATTCGAACAACTGGAACATCCAATCGGGAAAAAGACATTTAGATACGCTGTCTACGCTGGTATGTGTGGTAGAGATATTTATTAAATTCAGCGAAGATATATATATATATATATATATATATATATATATATATATATTATAAAAATTAATTGATTTAAAATATGGTTATTTTCGCTACACAGTTCCAACCATGTTTCAAAATAGAAGCTAAAAACCCCTAATTTTATTTTTTTGCAAATAAATTAAAAGCATTAGTTCCATTTCATCTTCAAGCGAATTTTGGAGTAACTTTTAAAATTTACCGGGTTTAAAATACACAGCTAAAATCACGTTTCCATGGTTACAGAATATTCTACTCAAATTGAACACGGGGTGTCTAGATTTTCCTTATGACAGTATCATTGTATCAGTTATTAGCTACATTTTGGTAAGGGGTTTTTAGCTTCTATTTTTGAAACATGGTTGGAACTGTGTAGCGAAAATAACCATATTTTAAATCAATTAATTTATAATATTAATGCTCTGTAAATTTACATTGAGCACTATTTTGTAAAAATAAAATATCTATAAGAACACCGGATTTTATATCTTACTGTTCTTTCTTTTTATTTATATACATATATATATATATATATATATATATATATATATATATATATATATATATATATATATATATGTGTGTGTGTGTGTGTGTGTTTCATTATAAATGGGAGACAAGGTACCACGATTATGCTTTTTATTTAATTTTTCTTGTGCTTGAACAAGTGTTTTCTTCTTTGGACACAGAGTGTGCAGAAACTATCCAAATGTTCTATAATTTCGAGCGCTTTCGGCTACACTTTGGTCATTATCAAGGATGATTTTATTCTTTCAGTTTAATTGAGTGTGTGCGTTGTGTGTATGTTTTTAATGTTATAGAAATGTTTTATATTCCGATCACAGAGAGCCGTGTTCGTAGTTAATATTAATAAGTGTTGGATTTTTTTTTCTTTTTTTATTATTAAGGCTTCCTTTATTTTTAATCTTTTTCTATAGGTGGATGGGTTTAATGCGTTTGTATTTTCTACCAGTAAGTTTCGGTTGAATTCTTTGTATGTGTGTTTAAATGGGTTCTAATAGAGCTGTGGTCATATAGGTGTAACGTAAGGCGTCTGGATAGGCATGTCGTCGAGTGACCTATGTAATTATTTATGAATTCGGTTTGATCAGGAACACATTTCCTTAAGGGGCATTTGAACTCATAGATAATGTTCGCTCGTTGTAATTCTGACTTTGCTGATGTATTGTTATATGTGAGGATAAAGTTAGCTGTTTCAAATTTTATGTAGCAGATAATTAATTTTATTTTTTATTCGGGTCAATTGGGTAGTGTATATCTTTATAATATTTCTAAGTGATATATATATATATATATATATATATATATATATATATATATATATATATATGTGTGTGTGTTGTCAAAAGTGTGTGTGTGTGTGTCAAAAGTGTGTGTATATATATATATATATATATATATATATATATATATAAAAGTTTTTACAGGATTAAATGTTTTTATATGCTTATGTTAAATTTGTAATCTGTAGTGGAAAATTACATGCATTTTCAAATTATTCTTCATTTTACATATCATTTCTCTTATAAAGACCGCATTTTAGTTTGGACTTTTCTTTTTCGTTGGGCTTTTTCTCTCTCTCCCTCCCTCTCTCCTCTCTCTCTCTCTCTCTCTCTCTCTCTCATCTTCTCTTTTCATGTATACATAAGGTAACTAAAGGCAAACCAGACGACAAATATTCATATATACTTCGGCAGTGTAAATTGGATAGATTTTGTATGTGGATCATATAATCATGTATTGTGTCTAATATCACCATAGATGTAGACACACTTTTCCGGTATCTGTTTTTTTTTTGTCTTGTTTTTTTTAATTTTAGGTCGATGAATCGGTAGTGATTTATTTATATGTATCTCACTCATTTAAACCGTTATTTAACTTGTCCCTTTAAAATAATATTCCCCACCCTCACCTCATGGCTTTGCACGTTCTTCTTTCTTCCGTTACCCGTCTCTCTAAAGCTTTCATATATTTCCCTCTCACCCTTGTTTCTCACTCCCATACATACACTCTCACTGAAATTTTGGTTTTATACCCGGAGTTATGTTTTCTGCTTCCTTTTGAATTTGTAAGTCTGAGAAATTGGATTGTGATTACGATTCCAATATAATAAATTATAACCATGGAAAATTAGTTTGATCCTTATATATGCCATGCGTGGTACACGTGTAAGCGATCACATATCTTTCGATACATGACTGACGAGGCAGATTTTTTTCGCGCAGTAGGTTGCCATTTCTTTCTGCGGTTGACTAGTTGCCATCCAAGGCTATAAAACACGGTCTGTCCTGCTATTTATCCATAGCTGGGTGAGAAGAAGAGTATTCATACCTCCACCCTGCCTCTTACGCCACTGGTAGTACAAGTCGTATTTAAATTCTTTAAATGTGGTGCCTTTTCAACAGTTCTTTAACTCGTATTAGGAACTCTGTTTCTAATATATTTAGTTGTTCATGCAGTGCTTCATATGTTCGGCCTGGGTGGATAGGTTGGGTCACATTTGGGACAATCTCTGTCCTGTCAGATCAGATTTTCCTTTCGATTCCTACTCCTACCAGTTCTCTGCCCATCTCAACATCACGACGCAAGGCTGGTAACACGAACGGGCGGTATCGGAACTACTCTGAGGCCAAGCAACCGGAAATCATCAATGTCCGGTTTACTGTCGTTAAGCTCTTATTTATTTATTTATTTATTTCCGCTTAGGTTACATGGATGTCGCTTAGAAAACACGACTTCAAAGATTTTTCCGCCGGTCATAAAATTCGAAACTCTTAAGTTCGAGATAAAATCTCTCATCTTTTTCTTCTATGTGGATGTCCAAATCATAGTGTCATTGTGGCGAACACTTTTCTTTCCAAAATTCAGGCAGTTATGTGCCATGCGTGATACACGCTTAGGCGATCATGTATCTTTTGATACAGGATTGTCGAGGCAGATTTTTCCCGCAGTAAGTTGCCATTTCTTTCTGCGGTAGACCAGTTGTCCCCCAAGGCTATAAAATTTAGTCTGTTCTGCTATTTACCCATAGTTGAGGGAGAAGAAGAGGATTCATGCTTTTCCCAAGGGTATTAGTACGTAAGTGAATGTAATGGATTCGACTGGAGTTGGAACTCGGCTCTCAATCTGAGCCCCTATCCATTGCTGCTCTCATAATTACCAACGTATAAATTTATGTCATTTTTTTTAATTTTTGGATTTTTCTTTCTTTTTTTTTTTCCTTTTTTTTTTTTTTTACGGAGGAAGCATTATCTCTGTTGGTATTATTGAAACATCTACTTATCATATTTTATGACAGGCTTTCTGATTAAAATGAGCAAAGGCGAAGCGTTCTCCAAAATGTATTTGCGAAAGTTTTCGGTGACCACTTCTCATACCGTTCATATTTTTTTTCACACATACAATAAAGATTTTTACATAGAATTTCCTGCATTTCTTCCATTCTTTATATTCATAGACAATATTTAGAAATTAAAGAAGATAATTCGACTTACATGGATTGCTTGATTACATTCAATTAAGCGAACCCAAAGACTCGCGTCTTCGTGGCTTTATTGCCCAGCTTTGCGTGAAATGATTAAAAATTACCCTTGCGAGAGGTATTAATTGATCGTTTCTTTCCCTCGAATAAAAAAAAGGACAGACGGGACTGTAGAGTATTGGTTGGAAACCAGTCTAGGAGAAAGTAAACTTTAAATACAAACCAGTCTTTGCAAAGGATGGTTAAGGTTCTTTAAGGAGACAATGAAATCCATGAAGCTAGGAGATGGCAAAAACTCCTCTTTAAAAAGCTTAGCATCATTTAACATGCAGCACACACTGTCACAGTACAGGACATGCTGCTATGATGGAGAGAGGGTGCAGTGTAGGGCAGAGGAAATTGACCACTTTAAAAAAATCAGTTCAGTAAATTCCAATTTTTTACCGAACATTGTTCTGAAGCCTCATCCATCGTTCTCTGCGGAAGAATCCATCCATCAATTTCTCTCTTGTTCTCACTCTCCATATATATATATATATATATATATATATATATAACAGAGAGAGAGAATGAGAGAGAGAGAGAGAAAGAGATAGTTGCGTCCGTGTGTGTGTGTGTGTGTGTGTGTGTGTGTGTGTGTGTGTGTGTGTGTGTGTGTGTGTGTGAAGTGGAACCTAATGCAGATCAATTCTGGATCTTACTCTGATAGAATGAAGGTTAAACAAGAAAATGAAACGTTTATAAATCTAACACGTTTCGTTATTAATATAGCTTCATCAGAAAATAAGATATGAAAAAACACAGGTACTTTTATTTTTGTGTTGTTTCATTTTCATTGGTCAAGCAGATTTCACGTGCATTTGCCTTGTCAAGCTATGTTCGGGCACCAATAAAATCACAAAAGTCAGTTCCAGCTTTTTTTCTATAAGCCATTCTCTAATGAAGCTTTAATAAATCTGAAGCATGTTACATTTACTAACGTTCCATATTTTTTCTATACCTTATCATATATATATATATATGTGTGTGTGTGTGTGTGTGTGTGTGTGTGATGAAATGGAATAAGGCCGGTAATTATTTTAATGTATTTTCTGGTTAACTGTAATTTTTAAAGATCCAATAATTCAAGTAAATGCTCTGTTTATAATAAACAATATTAACAACATCTACCGGCCTGAACGTAAAAAAATATGTGTCCTCCGGCAGGAATCGAACTTGTGTTTTACATGGAACTGTCATTTGATCTGACGTGCTATACCACTGCAGAGAAAGCGTCTGGTTAGTAAAGTCTAAATCACTGTATTTTTTTAAAAAACATTCAGGCCAGTAAATGCAATTAATACTGTTTATTATCAACAGAATATATATATATATATATATATATATATATATATATATATATATATATATATATATATATTGTATGTATGTATGTGTATTTATAAGTTGCTCGGCCCGGTGGCTAGGATCAAAGTGTAGTATCTGCGATTTGTGAGCTGCCGGGTCGGGTGTCTAATCGAACTCTCTGCTTGCAGAGGGAACCCATTTGACGAGACTCTGCCGAAGGGTAGGGTTTCGTTCGGGGAGGTTGACGGAACTAGCCCGCTTGGACGGGTTTAGATGGGTTTTATTTTGGCTGGGCCTACGGGCTCAGACATACCCACATTAAAAGGCCTTTGTGCCACATTCAATTCCTGTGGGTGAATTGATAAATACCATTTATAAGTACTTGAGCCTAGAGAAAAGAAACACTGATTTAAACAAAACTGACGTCACATAATAGCAAGTTTCTCCTCTTCATTGTTGGCTGGAAAGAGATCCTTTATATATATATATATATATATATATATATATATATATATATATATATATATATATATATATATATATTAAATATAAATATATATATATATATTAAGATCTTTAATAAAAAAAAGAAATCACCCTGAAATTAAGTTATAGCGGCACGGAAAATCTAGAAAGAATTATAAAAAAAACAAAAAAACATAATTATAAAATCACGAAGGAAACATGCATGCCAAAATCAAATAAATAAAAGACTCTAAACTAAAATTAGACAAAAATAATGAAAAATTATGGGATTGTAGAAACCATGAAACCTTTGACCTTTGTATACTATATGCCGCATGGAATCTGTGGTATGCCAATGCACAATCTGATCCATCGAGAATCCAAACATTGAAAAGATATATATAGGATCCACGAAAAATTAATTTAAAATGAAACAACAGAAAATCTCCTTCAATAATATTAGAAATAGGTATCATACTTCGCTATCTAAATATTTTTGGCATTTAAAAGAAAGAAATAAAATACCAAAAGTAAAATGGAAAATAATAAATAGAACAAGAACATGTAAAACCTGGAATGACCCATGCCTTTTATGTCTACATGAAAAACTATACATTATTAAGATTCTAAAAAAATAAAATGTATTAAATCAAAGAAATGACATAAGGTTTTCTTTTTTTTTTTTTGCCGCACCAACAAATATTCACCTTAAATAATTAGCATTTCATAAAAAACAAATTTCAAAATATATTGTAGAATAACAATAATAAAAAGCACCTACCGGCGTAAGAGTTCCAACTAGCGTCCAGCTGGCAGACAAAAATAAAGCAGGTTGTAACTTAATACATATCCTGCAAACTAACTGAGAAATCATGCTAGTATTTATATAGTAATACTTCCACTCAGGTACCAGCAGCCAATCACAGCCCAAGCAATGGACTATCCCACTATAGCATAATGAGATGCTCCATTGCACCATAAATAGCTCTCTGTCTCAATGTTGAATTAGTCTTCACCAGCTTGGTCACGCCTCCACAACTGAGTTTGTTGAAGTTTATATTGACCACGTATTGTCTGACATGGCGCTGTGAACAGGACGCGTCGAAGGGATTTATGACACCTGAAAATTGGGAACTCTTCTTCATTGAAGCAGGCATATCCACCGACTCCCGGCCAAAACTCATGCAACAACATGCCCCTCGATTTGTTGTTGTGTAAGCACACACAAAAAAAATCGGACGTGAGCCCTAAACAATGCAAATATTATTTTGTCGAGGGACAACGTCCAACACGCCCCAAAAAACTCCCTTTCCAACAGAACAAAACATTGATAGGCTCAAGAATT